ATGTGATTCAGCTAATTAAATGAATTCAACTGACAACATGGTCGTTGAGACTGATTTGAGACAGAACCGAAATTTGACAAAAACATAACAGAACCAAAGTAAAGAAATAATTTTTAAACCAGTTTCCTTATTTCGTTATAACACCTCCGTTTTAGACAGCCCTTTCCTGGCACTAAAAAATGCCGTTAAATCGAGAAATTAAAGTTATCTAGAGCCTACAGTCTAGCCCGATGACTTTGTTTATTCTATGACGCGCCAGATAAGCTAGAAGATGTGAGGAATATTACAATTTGTAATTCACCAGTAGCCGAACGCTCTAACAGCAAAAAATATATACATTTTTTTTCCTATCCTGATTGTAACACATGTAACTTTTTCAAATCTTAATGTTTCCATTTCCAGCTTCTTTCTTAAAAAGCGATTCCAGTCTAACAGGTAGCATCATTTCTTGCGTTAAAAAACTCCGGCTAGTTAAATATCTTCAAATAGGAATTTTAAAAACTATTCTATCCACTCACGTCTTCCATGGGAAGGAAAAGCTCCGCAAATTAAGAACAGCGAAAGCAACAAAACGCGCATTTTGACCTCTCATACAGTAAAGAAGGGGGGAGGGGGTTTAAACTTTGATCCAAAAGGCAATGAATTTTATGTTACATTTATTACAGCCTAAATACACTTAGAAATATTGAAAGGCAAATAAAATCAGATACTTCACATTTACTTCTGATGGTTTGGTAGGTTTCCGGATCACTAGACCCTCCCTCCCTCTCGATCCACCCACAATATCCTAAGTATCCTACTTCATACCACGTGAGCAGACGACCTAACCAAGTACTACGACAACATGCAAAACCGGACGGCGAAGTAATTGGATCGACGTCATGAAGTTCAGGTGTCGCCACGCTGGGTCCCTACGTTTTGAAAATTTTGGGAGCCAAATATTTTTCCAGTAATGTTCGACATAACTCAGTCAAAAAGTATTCTACCTCTTATTTATTCATTACCTCTTTTAATTCGCTTCTTGCAGGGTCGCGCGGCTTTTCCCAGTCTAGCTTGGGTCATCGCGCCCAGCCTTCCAAATTTAAAAATCGTGGTTGTCTTTTTTCATCTAGCAAGAGGTTTTAAAGGCACCGAGCCTCTTCAAGCTGTCTTGATCTAATACGAAATTCTCAGAAATGCAAGTATGGGATGTGTCAAAATCTGAAGAGAGAATTGTGCAGGCAGATCCAAATAATTTTCACATGTAAATCAGTGGCGACCGTAGAACTGATACTCGCGAAGTTTAAACCTCTCTTAGCTTTTGACAGAGGTGAATCAAAAGTTTTTTCAGCTGGTCATATTAAAACTAACGAAAAAAACACTGTCTCTGTCATTTAACATCGTAAAGTTTCCTCAACTTTGTTTCCTTGAGGTCATATTGGCTACCAGTTATCGGTTAAATATAGTTATATATAAATTTATCCTTTCGCTAATTCATCATTAATTTAAAAGATGTTACTATTTGATTCAAGTTTATTACAAAAACTCACTGTCAACAAACTTTTTCATTCTTATTGTTACAAACAGAAAAACAGATGTTGTCGGGAATGGCAGATAAGCTACGAACTAAAAAGCACTTTCGCTCATAAGAACAAGCATTTAACAAATTATTCTGTGATGTCTTTCAAATCAGGGCTTTCAGACATTTTTTTGAGTGCTTGTCTAATAAAGCTTACGTATAGTTAAGTTTACTTGCAAAGTGCGCTCAGCAATTTTCTCGCAGAACCTGACACGCCGTTTTGTTGTGGCACTGGTGGCTTCGCAAATTACCTTTTGAAACACTCCCTGGATTGATGGACGGCTTCCATGCACAAAGTAGAGTTTAAAATTCGTTCATTGCACCTAAGCTGAAAGCTCCGTTGAATTTATAAGGGTTAATTTGCAACATTCGGCAACAGTAAATGAGTTGAGGTAAGATTCTACTGTCGTTACTTGCGTATTCTTAGGAGATGAATAATGTAGACATTCTTACAAAGATTTCCCTTCTGTTGTCTATACGGCGCTTTTTGAAAGACGAAGCTTCGGTTGCCACAGCAACCTATACTTTCTATACAATAATTTTTGTTCGGTTTAAAACTTACGCCACATTGAAAACTGTACAAAGTTTTTCCTGAAACTTTGACTGAAGAAAAGATTAAGGTTAGTATAAATTTTTTATTCATCTTTTTAGCTTTGCAAACAGTTATAATCCCTTCAATTTGATTCACAGTGGGGTAAAACCCAAAAAGTTTTTGCCCTAATGTACACTTTTACACCTAAGAATTCGGGCTGACATAGCACCAACGCCTCTCAAAGAACAGTCTCCAGTAGAACAACTTTCATTGAAGTAGTATTAAAAAAAAGGAGAAAACACTCTGACTCGTCTCTTAGCCGCATATGTTCACTTTATTGTTTTACCTTCTCTCTACTGAACAAGAGATTAACAAGCAGAAACGGAGGAATGGTGAACTGAATGGCCAGTTGAACGAGGAGAGGCAGGCGAGAGAAGAGGTACTACTCGACAATAGCCACGAAGTGATTGTCGTTCTTAGTATTGGAAATACATGTTGTTGTTGTTGTTTCTGTCTAAAGTGAGTGCGTGCCAAAATCTGTTGCATTCGCCTTTCTGTCAAAGTAGTGCTGGTGTTTATGGCTTCTCACTGACGGTGGAAACTCCAGTGATAGGACACTATCGAGAGAGGGAAAAGTGTCCCTTGAATAGGAGATTCGCTTCATTAATCGTAACAGATACGACGCTTACTCGAGCATCCTTTTTCAAATGGAACGAAAGATTTCTTCCTCACATAGAGGTTTCACGAGGGAGAGGTTCGCTCTTGATGTTCAGAGAGTTTTTGCCCAAGCAGCTAACTTTCTATTTTTCTCTTATTCCCTTTGCAGTTGGAGTTCAAAGCTCATTCACGAGAAGCTTCAAAGTATGGTCGTCGATCCAGAAACAAGAGCAGATGCAGCAAACTCTCAGATATAAGAACGAAATGTGTACACGCAGTGCGCTATCCTGTCTTATCCTGCCAAAACTTTGGTTTTTCTGTTGTTGTTGATTTAGTTATTTCCTCGTTACTATTTTCCCATTAAAGAGCCAAACAATCAACTCACTTACTTCATATCCCTCAAGTCTTTCAAATAGTTATTTCAAAAATTTCTAAAGAGACTTTTAATTGGATCTTTAACCCTTTACACCCTAAGATCAGTATACATATTCTCCACACTGTTCTCAATACATTTCCTAAGGAGAAGACAAGGAGAATTTGTTTACCAATCAAGAGCTTCATTAGTTGGTGATCATTTTCTTTCTTCTCGTGACCTTAATGTGTTAATTGGGGGTGATATTGTAAGGAGAAATTAGATGCTTGTCACTCTCAGAGTATAAGGGTTCAGGTAATCCAGGATTGCATCGATCTTTCCTTACTGTGGTTTTTATTTTACAACTGAATGTGCGCTAAGAAGAAAGAATTGCTTGTTTTCTAGCTCTCTTAAATTTTATCTCAGTTTTGTTTATTTTCTTAAAAAAGTGGCTTTGGCCTCAGTTGATTTTAGACTTTAGGTATCCGGCACCAATCATTATTATTGTTTTCCTTAGGTAACTACACTTCTAAATCGTGAGAGACAACTTTTACAGGAAAGAAAACTCCTCAACCGCGAATTCAACGGAATCAAATTAGAAAAGAGTCGAATGAATAAAGGGGTAAGTTTCTAAAGAAACTGTGGTGCTGCGTCGGTGGGAGAGTATAGCAGGTAATTTAGTGTTAACAACTGAGTTTAAAACGTAAATTGACCATCGTAAAGAGTAAAAAAGCTGACGTTTCGAGCGTTAGCCCTTCGTCAGAGCTCTGACGAAGGGCTAACGCTCGAAACGTCAGTCGGCCTGGATACAACTAATCTGGGAACCTCCTCAAAGACTTTCGAACCTGTTAAGTACCGCAAACATTATAGCTTCTGCTCATGAGCCTGCAGTTCGTTTGGATCTGATGTCTCCAAGGGATGATGGGTATTTGGGAGAACCTCACGGTACTGGATCCAGAACAAGTTACAACGGAATTTCAAGAGACAGAGTTACAC